GATGAAGGACAAAATCCACAGTGCGTTTTGTGGAAACAATGCATTCTGAGGTTCACGTGAGGCAAACGTGAGGCTTTAACACGTGCACTTAGTGAAGGGGGTCATTTTCAAAGTTACAGTCTTTTTAGCAGAAAATACAGTCTACTTTTAGTTGACAGGGAAACAGGAAATGTTGCACTGAAATAACTGTAAATTATGACGGAACAAATTTGTCTTAGCAGTAAAGCCTCATATTAGCTATAATTGAACGTTACATTTTTACACAAAGAGAGGATGAGGGAACTTTATCATTCGTAAGAAGCAGACGCAAATAGTTTTCTCCCAAAAAAAAAAAAACAGCTCTGCTGATACTGTTGAAGAGATTTCTACCTTCTGAGCTTCTCTGCCATCGATCATTGGTCGTTTCAGCCTAAAGCTATTGGCCTTCAAATACCGATATTGGTCAAAGCCTGCCCTGATAAACCTAAAGCTCTTGCTAACCTTCTGCTCTTATCACCAGTCAAAACCTTTGATCTGCCTGGCTCACTTGCTATCAGGAAGCAGACGGCTGTGCGCTCCTGTATTGCTCCCTTCCTGATTTCTTAGTTTTTTGCGTGTTTGTCACACTTCATATAAAAAATCAAATACAACATTTTTTGGTAATCTGAAAACATGTAAGTGTGACAAATTTGCAAAAACCGAAACTACACTGCATGTTTGTTGTGTGCGTCTGTGTGCATGTGTGGTTGAGTGTGCATGTGCATCCTGAGGCCTGGCAGATCTCAGCTCCGCTGTAGGCCAGTGACAGGTGCTAATGCTGAGGCGAGAGGTTACACGAGCCTCCGTTCTCCCTGCTCTGATAACACGGAGCAAAAGCATACAATCAGACACACACACACACACACGGCGGCTTAGCTTCCTGATAACTTCACTTCAGAAGCTTGTGTGTTTATGCGTGTTGCACCGATGGATCGTTTCGCACAGATTCTCCTGAAGCTCCCCCGAGCCTCACTTTAAAACCTTTGTAAAAGCCTGTGTTTTGCAATAGAGGTGAGATGTTATTATGCTTTGCACATTGCTGGATTTGATGCTTGTGAGTGTGTCTTTGTAAAGGCCGAATTGAATTTTGTAGTTGTAAAGAGCTTAGTGTTGCAGAGCAAAGTGTGCCTCATTGCTTATAAAGATACAACTCACTAAAATCACCAGCTGACCGTGGGATTGCCAAACGGTTACACTTTCATTAGATCTTTTTTTCCCAAGATGTTCACACGCGTCTGATGGCTTTATGGGGTCAATGATGATAGCGTGATATGAATTTTGGTGCAACTTTGGTTGCACTTCTTTCAATTTAGTGTAACAAATTGTAGCATTAGCAGGTAAACAAATTGATTGAATTTATTCACCCTCTCCAGAAGCTGCTTGTGTTAACATATCGCTCTTATCTAGTAGCCTCGTTTTCATATTTACCAGTGATCGTCTATCTATATCCATCTGTTTCTTCTGTACTTGAAGCCTGGACACACAGATCGGATGTTAATCTTTCCAAGAAAACAAAGATCTCTTCTGTCCTGGTCTTCACTTTTTCCTTTGATCTCATCCTGTCTGTGTCTCACTGGGGTTTTCCTGATACCCACAAGACCACTGAGAAACCTCCCTGTATGTGTCCGTGTCCACTCGTCTAAATCAGCGTGTGTAGAAGAAGTGTGAAGCAGCATTCATCTTTTTAGATTTGTTCAGCAAATTTATTACCCCAAAGGATTTCTTTGTGTTAACTTTGAACACACAAAGGTCAGTGGTATTTCAAGTCATGAAGCCTTTAGTGTCATGAGTTCTCTAAATTTCATGCAGATTTCTCCAAGGAGCTCATTAAAGTTTCACTTAATTTACTGAACTTATTTTATTAATCCTCTGAGGCGATGTAATGATCTAGTGCTGATGGTTGTATAAAGTTCCCTGTGTTTCTTGTGTGGGGTGTTTTGAATTTTTTT